CTGATAATGATTATGCAGCTTTCCAACATCACACTGTGTAGTTTAATGAAGTCCTGCAAAGCTTTCAAAATCCAATCAACCTGCAGCCACTTATGTGCATGTTCACCTTTAAATATGTCAAAATTGTTTAAACACGTCCTTACCACACATTCTCCACGCACGCAGATACTGTAGGCATCTTTGTAGGAGCATCGTGTCCCATCATGCACCAGCTGCTTCATGTATGCCACGTCTCCGGTCTCCTTTGACTGGCAATACAAGTGGCATCTCTTGTTGGCTAAAGGACACCAGATTATTAGATATTATTAGAGAATTATTAGGTAGAAAATGCAACTTGGAAAATCAACAATATTATGAAAAGTAAACAAAACAACAATGAACACAGTAAGCCTTCACCCACTTCTGTCAGATTGTTTATGTATCTAAACCAATGCATTATTTTTTTAAACTGGCAACTGCTAGAATGACCTAAATTTTGAATCTTTTTGTCCAAAAGACACACTTTGACACTGTTGTCTATGCAGCTATTACAACTACAATTGTTCATACACACCGACGTAAAACTTAAATACTATGACATTAACAATAAAATATGAATTCACACAAAATTACCTTGTATAAAACCACATGAACTTTCTTTTTTACCTTATACTTTATTATCAACTTGTACGACATTTGAAACGATTACGATTACGATTTTGAAAAGCTCTTTACCTTTCGTGGAACAATTGGTTCCCACTTTACCATCTCGCCTCCCTGCAGTTTCTCAGTAGGTTTTCCTACTTCTTTTCTACATGACTGACTTTCAAAAGCCAGACCAATTTAGGTGCAGTAAGTGGCAAACAGCTCCATGGAGCGAAGTCGGACAAAAGCAATGTCTGATAAAGAACAAAAATTGAAATAGGATACAAGGTTTTGTATCTGCACTGTAGAGATCCATCACCTTTGCAGAAAGGGCACATTTAGTGCTTGGATGGTTTTAAACTCGGCATATTGGCACAGTGATGGGAGACCAAAAGAAAAAGAAAAGGCTTTTACAGAATCTTAAAACAAGAAAGGACCAGACACAAAACACATTTGAAATCACACAAAAGGGTGTGGTCAGTATGTTGAAACTGTAGGGAACATCCATTGTTTTTTAAATATACAACATCTTCCTTCAGTTCTGGCTGTGAGAATCCAGATCCCCTGCTTGTGTCTTTCATTTTTGTTTTTGGCTGAAACAAACACACTAGCCTCACACTAGAACATAAGAATCTGTTGACATTATTCTGGCTTACCGTCGGGATGCTCGTAGGGCAGCCAATGGTGTTTGGCATTTTGGAACTCAAAGTGGGAGTTGCGGAGCTGGCACTGCTGAGCTCTGAAATCTTCGAAGTGCTTGGGGCAATCATCAGTGTTGCACAGCTGATACTCGTAGTTTACTCCTGGGCAGTCCTGGCCACCGTTGGAGGGTCTGGGGAAAGGAAATGGATGAACATCAGAGAGTGATCATACAGTGTGCTTTTCTTTGAAGACAAGAATCTGAAAACATATCCTGTTCATAAAGGGAAGCCAAAACACTGAGAAGCTTTTATGACAGATTGGGGGTATTTCTAACATTGCACCTGCTGTCTGGGCAAAAATGATTCAGCCTTTTTAAAGCCATGTGAGTTGTCTCATTCTATCAAGGTGCTGTTTGTTGTGGCTTACAAATGCAACAAATTTATCATTACCACCACCACACATTAATAGTAGCCACCAATAGTGATTCATTTACTATATATCT